GAAAATAGGTTAGAGAAAGCGCCTCACTCGGGATCCACAAGAAAACATTTTAGGAAACACTTCATAGATAATGTAAATTACAAACAAGCTTTACAAGCTCTGAACGGTTGCACAAGAAAAGGTCAAAAGAGTCCACTACAGACTGAGTATCTCTCACAAGTGTCCACATGACACAACCTTTATTTACAAGCGTAAGAAGGCCACCAAACCCAACTAAAATGGGGCTGTTAAGCCTTCAACCGTCCCTCTACATGCTATGCAAAGCATGAACAAACCAAAAAACACAGACATACATAAGCATTACATCGAACATCCTATTTAGAATTTTATCCGTGACAAGAGGGCGCGGGAATTTCCTCCCTTTCCTTACAGACAGCAACCGAAAAGCAATTGACCGGCGAGAAGAGAGGCAACGACGGATAGAAGAGACGGTTGAATCGCGAAGATGACCGAGGAGAGATTCTTGTCAAGCGAGGGTATTATTATCATTATAAGATATTTTCCATATACTTCAAATATATTTAACATCATAAGATATTTATATGTATGAATTATATAAGTAGTATTAATATTAGGATGAACTAGGGGAGGCATGGAGATAATAACATGGGAGGGTCAATGAGTAATGGGTGAGGTGACGCGTCAGAAAAAGACTAAAGGCTAAAGGTAAAGATAACAATAAACTAACAACATAAAGAGGAGGGGAGACGATAGCGAAGACAATACAAGGTATATTGATCGCCTGTGTAATATATGAGGACGATGAGGGTAAGATGACAAGTCGAGATGTTGAGGACATAAATATCATTTAAAAAAAAAAGATGTTCCATAAAAAAAATTAAAAAAATAGGGTATTTTATGAAAATTTAAAAAATAGGGTATCCTATGAATTTTTTTTTAAAATATGTACTTTTCATAAATTTATCCTTAATATTATAACTTCCTTATATATGATGAATTACATAATTGAAAAAATTCAATAATTTTAATGGACATGATATTTCAACGGATGCTCGAAGTTAAAACTAATTACTTGTGGAATAATGGATTGACCATTACGAATTTCTCAACAAAGACACTGAATCGTGTACATAGTGATACTCATTCCTATGTAATTAAAATTATACATGTCTCAATTGTAATTAATGATTTTAGAATTTATTCCTCTTAAATTTATTTTAGAACATATATATCCTTCAATAACCTAAAGATTTAGGCTCCTGTTAAACTATTTTATATATCATATATTAGCACTCTGATTGGCATTAATAATACCATTGACAAACTAAAATTTAATTCATGATATTTTAATACTTTATATAATTAAGGATTTTAAGATCCCGTGCATGAGCATCCATAAAAACAATCAATAATTGATCGTAGAAAATATTAGTTACTTTGAGATTAAAAAAAAAAGATACTTAAATATGTTAAAAAAAACACTCCAATGCTTTTACAAAGAATATATTTAGAGTTTTGATTATAGTATCTAATTTACGGAGATTAACACGGTGAAATTTTTACATTTAGAAGAATATACATGCTAAAAATAAGTATGAAAATCACTTATTTTTTCATAAATGCTAAATGGTGAGCATATGATTTGATCCTTCGTTCTTGTTATTAAATAAACAAAAAAATTTATCGATTATATTAGTTAATATCCTTAAAATTTTATCACCTAGTAACTATTGTACATTATCACCGTATCAATATTTTAGATGTGAAATAACTTATTATATATAAAAAAATTTATCTTATAATTTTTTATATTATTTATAAAATTTTTCATATAATGTTATATCAAAATGTCAAATTTTGGCTAATATCTGAAAGGACTTATATTAGTGTTTGGGAGAGAGAAACTATGATATTTCACTAAATGAGTAAAGTGACAGACAAGCATATGTGCGTAAATATACTTCGCTAAATGGGTCGCATCAAAATAAGGCCCAAATCGAGCTGGAGAAGCCTAAGCCCTTTTTCATTCGGAGATGCAACTACGACCGTCCGGTCTGCTGATCTCGCTCTCGCTCTCGCTCTCGCTCGCGCTCTCTCCTATTTAACTGCTCTTCGTCTCCCAAACCCTACTTCGATTCTCGTTCTTGAGTTGCGGTCTGTTCGTCGGCGCACCACTCGTGAGCACCAAGATGGTGAAGGGGCGGCAAGGCGAGCGCGTGAGGTACCATCTTGTCCTCTCCTAGAAGATAATCTGCTCCTTTTCTTCATTTTGATCCCCATCAAGTCGACCTTTTTATGGTTGCTCTTATCGGCTGATTTGAATTTCAGGTTGTACGTCCGCGGGACGATCCTCGGTTACAAGAGGCAAGTCGAGACTCCATCAACTATGGAATTTATTCCTTGATTTTATTGGATTTGTGTGTGTGTGTGTGTGTTTTCTATGGGGGTTGATCGGGGAATCTATGGATCAGGTCGAAGTCCAACCAGTACGAGAACACCTCGCTGGTGCAGATCGAGGGCGTGAACACCAAGGAGGAGGTGGCATGGTACTGCGGTAAGAGGATGGCGTACATCTACAAGGCGAAGACGAAGACCAAGGGGACGCGGTACCGGTGCATCTGGGGCAAGGTCACGCGCCCACACGGCAACAGCGGCGTCATCCGTGCCAAGTTCAAGTCCAACCTCCCGCCTAAATCCATGGTGAGCTCGAGTCCCTGTGCTTAGTCGAGCTTCAAAGATCACATTTTTGCTTACCTTTTTTCTCGTCTCTTTATATGTGTAGGGTGGAAAAGTCAGGGTTTTCATGTATCCCAGCAACATCTGAGGAGGTAAGCTTCCACTGCATCTGTTATTAGAATGTACTTGGATAACGTACTTGTCTGATTTTGTTATTGTGTTCTTCTTCTTAGTTATTTCTTGCTGAATGAGTATCGATTTCTGTGATTTTTCTTTCTAAGCTATTGTCCATGTTGTTTTGTTGAGTATATCTCTTTATGCAATCGTCACTCTTAGTTATCATCTTTCCACTTGTGTATATGACATCGTCTGTGAAATTTTGTTTGCTGGGCACAGAACAATGGGAATGGCTTAAGGTTTCCAACCAAATCCTCAATGTAATAATTGGCATATTGTGACATCCTGTAACAATTTATAGTTACTTTAATGCTTGTTTAGTTTATTGTTTGAGTGTAGTACCTCTTACTGATGGTTTCTTATGCTCTGAACCTAAGCTGGATGAATGATTCCTATACGATAAACATGATTGTGTGATGAGGAAGTTTTTGTTTCTTGTGATGAAAAAAAATTCAGAGCAAACACTTACAGCTCACACGACTTCCTCGGAGGTTTTCAATGTTCATATTTCATATTAACGTATCACATGAAGTTTATTCAAATGATTGAACTAAATAATTAGACTGCTTTAAGAATGGACCGAGATATTGGCGTGTATGCCACATGCTCTTCTAGATGGATGTACTTCCTTTCCCAAAAAAAACAAAAACAAAATTACGTTGATTTGTGCCACCTAAGTGGAGGGAAGTAGAAGAGATTAGATCAGAAAGGTGAATAAGTGGAATGAGCCTTGTAACCCAAACGTTCTTGAGAAACCTTAAGCTCCTGTTGTGCTGGTTTCATTTGACCCAATTGGTGTTTATATGACAAGGCAATTCTTTATCCAGTTTTACACAATGTGCTGCACCTATCAATTATGTAGAAAACAAAGCACCAAATCTCAGTTGTGATAGACGCTCGGTGAGCCAGCTTTCCGTAAGCATAGTTGTGATGATCCACTTCCAATTGTTTGTTTAATACCTTTTTGCCCTTTTTCTTCACTGTTCAGGTGATTGGTGCAGCAGAGCTGATGTCTTGGTGCAGCTGCGGCTGGGTTTCTAGTGGGATTGGAGCCAAAACATTTCCTAGATATTAGAAGTATATCTATATCCTTCTTTTTGGGAAACTTGAACTTAATTTACAAGTTGGAACAACTGTATTTTGATAAGGAGAAAGTTAGCAATGGCTTAATAAAAGCTCGCCATCGATGATTGCTTGCTGGTCGTTTAAGAAGATTATAATCATTTTATTTTGGGTTCCTGATTGGATAGAGTGTTGAACAGTGTTTTTTAAGTTTTTGGTTCTTCCATGGAAAATGTGATGGCTGTTTGTATAAGATTACTTAAATAGATAAATATAATTGACAGCTCTAAATTGGATGCTATCTGCAAGAGATATTAGGAAAAAGTGTTGTTAAAAAAATTATGTTTTATTGACTATGGGTTGAACCAAAACAAAGAAAAAACAAAAATGTGTTTTCTTGGTAGGTATGATCCATTGGACATAGGTTTATTTTTTTTTTACTTTTTTTTTTATTTGTTAGATTTTTTTTATATTTTCTATCCGTTTCTAGTGGTATGTATATAAATGCAGCTGTGGCGGGATGTCTTATTTTATCTCTTCAAGAAAAAAAAAAATGTTTTTGAAAAATAATTTTACTTGGATATTTTTTTTCTCTCGACTCGGATTGCTGAAAATTTATCTGATGAGGAATCAGCAAAGAGTAAAAAACAGTGCCATATCAATCGCCCAAAGTCACATTATTTTTTCCGTAATAATATTGAAGAAGTAGATATTTTAGAATGAGATTCTGCCAAAAGTAAGTAATTATGTATGTATACACGCTGCTTTGCTTATCTGCCAAAAGTATGCACTTCTGCCGTATCTTTCAGCATCCAAAAACAAAAAAATTATATTGATTCCATTTAATATACATAATTCAATTTTCTTAATCTTTTTCGGGATTGAAAAAGAGGCGTGGGTTAATAGTCATACACAAAACATCTATCCATCTAAAAATATTTCCTTTATAATTATTATACGTTGAGTCGATCCATTCATTACACACTATGCAATCCGCAACAAAAGAGTAAGAAATTAAGTCTAAAGTTCCTTTATAATTATTATACGTCGATCCATCACACACTTTATAATTCCAAGATCAAGGTCTTAGAATATTACTGAATAGATCATGTACACACTGCGCAATCCGGAACCAAAGATACAAGGTCTTACAAGTTAAAAGTCCAAAAGTTCAAACACAACGCTGTCCAATGTTACTGAATAGATTATGTACACTGCCACACAGGACATCACGCTGCCCATCTCTACTCGTACGAAAAACTGTATTGCTACCATAAACATACTGTAGATTAATACAACACTTGCAATCCACGTAGAGAACAACACTTGCAATCTATTTTAGAGAAATCCATACAAACCAGAAAGTGCCTTGTGAGTGAGCCAGTGATTGACATCCAAATCATTGCACAAGCAAGCGAGAGGGAAGCATGAGCCACTACCATATGCATGTGCTACTGTTCTTCCACAGTAAAGTCAGGTTCTGGTGGCTTCTGCAACAACATTACAGGCATCCTCTCCTGTAACCTGGCCTTACGAGTTACGTTTCGCCTCAAGGCACGTAATGCGTTCACCGCAAACCTTGATGCATAGATTGTTGCACCAAGGCTCGGTGTGGTAGTTCCATCCTTCACAAGGGCTGCCTGCAGCCTGTTCTCCTCCTCGTGTAGAGATTCCTCCAGTTTCTTTCTTGAGTAGCGTCGCCAAGCTGCCTGTATAAAGCAAGCAGCCCATGTTCTCCACTGCTGAGAATATAATCTGAAGGTATGCCTCAGCTTCTTACTGTGCAGCTTCCTGAACTGGGAGGCAACAAATTTCAAGTCATCGGCGGCTAGAGCAAAAGCCTCAACCTCAGACAATGCCTTCACCGTCCTTGTGGAGATGGGGAGGCTCGAAGATGAGTTGGGATCCAAAGCCCATGTCAGAAGCTCTTCGCCGCAGAAGTCGCCTTCCTTCAGGTAATCCGAATTGAAAAACCCTGTTCTGCCACCATTTGTTGTAACACTAAGCAGTCTTCCTCTCATGATGAAGAGCATCTCATCCACCGGGTCCCCTTCACGAATAATGCAGCTGTTTTCAGTGTAAAGGATTGGTTTCAGACGGTCACACATGGCATCCATAAGTTGATCGTCCATTAATTCAAACATGGGAACCTGCATGACAGTGTGAGAAAGCAAAGAGTAGCATCGATGTAAAACTTTTAAAAACAGAAGATAACCGTTTTTTTTTGTCCTAATATGACAAAGTAAAATTACCATAGGACCAACAAGGAAAAGTTCAGGTTTTTATACATCATCCAACAGCAGAACATAGAAGGGGCTGCATGCTATGTAAGGGTGAAACTGCACTGAGGATTCAATCTAATCTGTTGAATAGTGAATTGTCTTTATCATTTCAGGTGTTTAACATCAAGTAGCAAGTTCTCCTATAGGCCATATAATGCAATGCACAAATAGAAGAAACTTATTTTTTTATGACCTTCCCATTTCCTTTTAAGGTCCCACAGATTGCCTTCCATCTTTTTTTTTTCTTTATATGTTTTCAATACTGATAGATTTTGGACTGGTTGAATCATCTAGTTCAAGCAGTCCCAACAAGTTTCAAGAATTAGCAGGCAAACAAATAATTACTCTTCATGTGAACTGGAAAGTAATATAGTTTTGTTCTTTTAGACTTTGACATAATACATTCACAGAAATAGAGTTGAGAATGACACCATCACCACCACAATCATTATAATTGGAAGAGCATAATACTTATTCTCTTCCAAGTATTATATATCATGGTATATATTGGTGATTACTGTGGAGACGGAAATCTGAAAAAGAAGGTGATGGGTAAATAACTTACCCTCCTCAGCAGTCCCAAACAGAGATGACGTTTTATGTCCCTTCTTAGGTCCTTAGGTAGATTTTGAAGCAGATGCTCTTCATCAACCCCTCTTGTTTCTTGCCATTGGTATTGTTCATGACGGCGTATTCGCTCCCTCAGATTCTCTGGAAGCATCCGGTGGGACATCCATTGCTCTGCATCTTGCCTTTTCACTCTCATTTCTTCTATTCTCACAGTGGTAGATTGCAGATAAGTCTGTGATGCCAACACAGGGTTTGTTGAATGTACCAAAAAAGAAAATATAGGAAGATAGGATGTATCCAGTTAAATCTTTATTCTTATTTTAGTACGGAGAGATAAATATCTTGATATTTTTCTTTAATAGATCTACATAGATCTAGACATTTTAGTAAAATTTCAATAAAATCAAGGTTCATCACTTGGCTGCAACTCAGGAACACGAATCCCAGCCAAGGCGAGCTTACTTGGGAACACGAACCCAAGCCCAAAGTGAGCCTACACCATCATTTGTTTGCAATTGGGCAAAATTTTCATGGACCTGGGACAGGCTGGAGCCATCAAAAGTACCAATCCAACAATAATCTAGGTCCAGCTCAGGCAAGGTGCAAGGCAACCCAACCAAAGTCAAGAAATGAATTTTATTATAGCTTTCTTTCATCAAATTTGAAGATACCCAACTGATTATCATCAATTCAAATGCTCAAATCTATAATCTTTTATATCTATCATTGTCACCAGTTCACTTCCCACCTTTAAGTACTTGTGTACATCAACATTTTATCAAACGTCAAACCTAGTATAAACACAACCATTCAAAAGTGAAAGCTGATCAACTTGAATGTTAAGAGAAAAAATACCTGCATGTTGCCGATAAGAAGTGAAAACAAAACCAGCCCAGAAATGGAGATGAAAACAGCAAATAAAATCTCCCCCAGGTAAGTGCTTGTTTGCAAATTTTGTCCCAGGGAACTGCAAGATAGGACGCAAAAAAACCAGCAGTTATTGACTATCAGAATATCTGGATGCCAATCCAGGACAAATGTAAAATGATTACATGTATAAACCAATCCAATATGTCTGAATAAATTTGCTGGTATAAGGATTTTAGCTTGAAAATGCCATTCATGTCTCAGTAATTATTGATCAACCAACAAGAGTTCAAATATATACAGCACCCAACAAAGCAAATGAAATCATAGAAGGCTCTAGGAAAATATTTTGATAAAGAAGCAACGTTTCTTACCAATTAGCAGCAAATTTATCCTTATAGATAATTTGATGGCAACTGTAACCATGTGACGGGTAAGAAACTGGCTAAATCAACCATAGAACAAAATTTGAACACGTCAAGGAATCTAAAATTGCTGCCTCAGAAATAAAAAGGGAACATTCATGCCATGGATTGCCATATCATGGACTGCACGGCACATGCCATGCATTTGTGTGCTAGCCTGTGCCATCACGTACCTTCCACAGGTCAAGTGTTAGCCTGTGCCATCATGCCAAGTAACACTTTTCTAGCATCACCCAAATATATGATATGGACAATCTTTGGTTCAAGCAATAATTTTGGGGTGTGAGATTCCAAAAGGAAAGATTATTGCAAGCACCATTTTGAAGACAGCAGTGCCAGATTTAAGGCAAGTACTGCAAGTTGTCAGCACTTTTGTGTAATCTCGTTGGCACCATAATTCAGTTCTGTCAAACACCATGCCCATCAACCCCGAGTGCATGCAGAAGGCTCTTCCAATCAATATCAGCATCCCTGCTTACTGCAGGGAATTTCCATTCTGTTTTTTTTTTATTTTTCTGTAATTATCCACTAAATTTCTGCAATTCTCTTTTTATTTTCATTGCATGACTCTTGCCATCCAAACATAATTTAAGTTTACCCATGAAATACCCTCTTATGAATAGAATGTGGAAACATATTTCAAGTTTATCAATGGGATACCTCTTCAGAGTGAAATGGGGAAACCATACTTGAAAAAACTAAAAATACACTGTGAAACTTGTAATGAATTTTGAAGGCTTAAGAGACAAATTCAAAATCAAACTTTGGTACATGGCAGTGAAGATTACACTTTCTGAGAACAAAGAAGGCAAACTGATGAAATTTCAAAGAGTTCACAGGACCACAAGATTAAATCCTAAGGATCAGGAATTAACAGAAAGTCCGTAAGTTGATACGAGAGTTATGAACTTACATAACAATAATATATGAACAATAGTGTAATTGGTTTCATAGAAGCAGAGACATTTGACATGCGATAGGTAGATCTCAATTTTTAATTAAATGGGGTCCAAATTTCAAGCTTTACCATGCCAGTACAATACACTATCAGCAACACTATTATAGAAAACACATCGAGCTACAACTATAAAGAAAGCATTTCTTTATACATACCTCAGATTTTGTAAGCCCCACCAAAAGCAATAAAAGAACTTTTCCGGAAAGTTTCTTAGAAGAACAATATCTGATTGAAGAGCCTGAAGGTACATGCCGAAGTCAAAGATTGTTGCATTTTCTTCTTGAATAGGACACTCACCATCTATAAAATCCATGCTTTCTTCCTTTTTAACTCCACAGTACCAGAACATAGTTGTACAATTATGTTTATGGCAGGCACGTCTCCAACAAGAATCTTCTCGTTCAATAGAAAGGAAGTACCAGCATGCCCCAAGTACCTGGAAAGATTTTTCTAATAATCTTATCAAAGGTGTTACATAGTTATCCATGAAGAGCTTCCACTAGTCAAATATTCAGAATATAGCAGCTTCTGCAAGAACCAACAGCACAATAGACAAATGAAACCAACCAATGTTTTCTCTCAATAAATAGTTTACACATTACCATCAGCACAATCAGCACTAGAAGAACTAGAAAAACATAGATGGCATAAACAAACAAATAGGGTGAGTGTTGGCACCATTATAAGTTTGCTTTTTTACAGATTGGTGATCAGAGTTTAAGTCATGAATTCACTGCTTATAAACTGTGCACATTGATCCCCTACAAGCTCAACATTAATGAGGTATTGTGCATTAGGCCTCCTATTTTTGTTAAATGAAAAGATGTTTGTTTGCAGACAAAAGCATATCTGGTGTCTTTTCTTGATACTGGCTCTAAAATAAAGCTAGGTCTAGTTGCGGGAGAGGGCTAGGCTTGGTTCATTGATTCAGACCACTATGGTTCAGCAATAAGAAAATACAATTGCTGTTGAATGTGTCCCCTCCGACGTTGCACTCATCAATTCCTACATAAAGCCACCAACTGCTACCCAACTTTGCCAAGCTTGCACCTGTGAATGTTGCCATCTTGACTAGTGCCACCCTCCAACTGAATCACCATGATCCACCGCCCTTCAACCACAAACACCACCTAATAGTTGTAGCAATGAGGGCCACCATCCAATCAGCCACCACCTTCGATGGCTAAGCATGGGTGCTCGGCATTGGCTAAATGGGTGAGCTGGAGGTGACTAGCCACATAGGTGATTTGTGGAGACTTAAATTTTAAATTGGCAGTGAACACTGGCACATAGCTAGATTTGTAACACAGTGCTTGAAGAGAGATACGAATAGCAACAAAGCCTTGCTGTCATAAAATTTATAAACCATGTCATCATAAAAACTTATAAACTTATAAGAACTAGTATGGGTCAGGGCTTCACTGGTTTTGAGTTGTCCTGGGTTGAGCTTAAGCTCTCTTGACATGTTTCCCTTCATCACCAAGATCACTTTTCATCCCTTTCAAGATAGCAATGAGCTGGCTCCCGTTGGTCTCTATACACTCCATGAAGTAAAAAAAAAAAATTATTGAAATGAATTCTCCAGTTGTAAATCATTCTTAGAGGGGAAATGAAAAGCTAAACAAAACACTTCAATATCCTCATTCCCAAGCACCAAGTCTATGCATGCACAATCTTTGTACCATTTGATCCACACGTCACTGGACCTGTCACTTCGTAATAGTTGAGAGATACTGATACAATAGATGCTAAAAGATGTGCAAACCATATCGATTAGAAAAACACATAACTTCAGCCACTATTCCTACATGTCACTAAAATTATTAGTTTTTAATGATTTTTTTAATAGTTCACTTCAATGATTGTTGTACCGCCTGGAATGGTACAAAATGGGCAGTATGTGTCAGTCCAGGCGTGGGTCAGTACATGGATCACCCTTGTTTCAGGCGGCTTAGTCTAGTTCAGTAAAAAGTAATGAGTAAAAAAAAAAAACAGTGGGGCCTGTCTAACTCAGCATTAAAATAAGAAAAAGCTTAAAATAGAAATTAGGACTTGCAAATGCGAGAGCCCTCTTCTCACATTCTTCGCCATTGCGCTGCTTCACGATCGCTTCACCACTGCCAACACCATTGCTGCCACATTCCTTCTTCTTCCCAGGTATGCTCCCACCTCTTCTCCTCTTCCTCTTCTTCCTTCTTTCTCCTCGTCCACTGCTTCTTCTTCTTCCTCCTCCACTACTTTCTCTTCTTCATTCCTTCTTCCTCCATCGCCCCTTCCTTTTCTCCCTCTTTTTCTTCCTTTCCAAAACACCAGTATATACCGACGTACCATGACCGATACTGACCGGTATATATCGGTCCAACAGATCTCCGAAATGGGTCTAGTACCCGAAATGACGATCCTTCGTTTACTTATAAGTTTGTATATCTAATTCTATAAACAAATATTGCTTTGACCCAATCCAATAGAGCCCACTAGCATAGAAATCGGATAAAATGATCCTTATACCACAACCAAAATACATAAGCACAACTCATTGAGGAATAGACTATCAAGCCTTATACTACCCAATCCATCATCCACATTAAATGAGGGATTAATTCAGATAACACAATCATCCCAACATACATAAGCCTTAAAAGTAAGCCCATCAGGTCTTATAGCCCATAGCATCATCCACTTCCAGCATAGGACTATTTTGGGTATCATAATGATCCCAACTGTTCTCATCAAGGCCCAAGACATGATGGCTGTGAGAATTCAAGGAAAATGGGTATTTAACCATGTGACTTCAAATACTTAAGCCCCAATTACTCATGATAAATACACAATACTATATACTAAAAACACCACCGCTTTCGATGTTGGACTAATCAAAATATCTTAAATCATGATATATTATATTTTACGCAATAATTTATATCCTGAGATTGTCTACTAACCTAAGCAGCAAGTGATTGCTACCTAAGCAACAAGTGGTTCAATTACTCTCATCAAGATATGAAAACCAACCAATCAAAATAATTGTAAAAACTAAAAAGAAAACTAAAATTGTGAAACCAATCAACAGTCTAAATGAACAAATAAAAAAATATGTTAAAGTTGGTGAACAAATCCATAAGAACACAAATACAACAACTAGAGGTGGACAACTGCATTTACAAAACGAGCTACAAACTACTTTCTCTACTAAAGTTTTAAAAGTTGAATCACAGGAAATATTGTAAAGCAAACATTAGTATCCAGCAAAATATCATTAAAGGTGATACGAAAAGTATTAAATTACTTATTCTGCTAAAAAAGTGAAAGGTGTATTTACAGAAGTTTTTTAAAGCCAATATAGAATATTCTGATTCTAGTAATGAAAATGAACTTGTAGGAAATTGGAGCTTACATGACTTGCAAGCATATAGAGAAAAAGGTTCAAAGCAGCTCCAGCCCATGCAGTTTCAGCAATTATACCAGCAGATTTTGTGACTTCAACATACAATGGTATTATTCTAACAAGCCTAGGCACATATTGTAAAATGATAATGTACATCAACAGCGTCTTTGCGTCCACCGAACCTGACCCTTTTAGCTTTGGTATTATGATCAATATAACAACCTGAATAGGCAAAAACATAAAGAGAACAATTTAATTCCATACTGGGATACCAACAGCAGAAGAACCCCTTTGCACATGCAAACAATAAGTGACATGCTCATATAAATGAAAACAAGTGATCTATAAAAGGATTGTTGAAGTGAACTACATGGCCACTGTAACAAAGACATAACTATGGAAGCCACATAAATTTTAGACTAGAATCCCCATGGTGATAAAAGAAATGCTATCATAAACCTAGTAACAATATGTCTATGGGACAAATGACTCCTCCAATAACAAGAACAAGCAGAGTTACAATTGCTAAAACTGGGACAAAAGGGCACTTGGTGTTATCCACAGGATGAAGCTGAAAAACAGAGAGAGAAACCAGACAAATTTTCAAAGAAAATCTCAACTTATTTGTGTCAATAACCATAGTACCACAGTCGTGATAAGAGAAGAAGCTGGTCATGTAGGGGATTGGAATCAGGCAGTTAATGCATGTGCCAAGCTATGTATTGCTCAGGAGAGCCCTTGACCCATTAAATCACATGCCCAAGCACTAAGATTTACTGATGTTAACCAACAACAAGCTGTAATGTCTCAACTATTTATGATTGGATAAATATATATTTTCCTCATCACTTGGACTATTTGGGGCAATATCAGTAGTGAAACTAATAACAGTCAAATATATGAAAGATTGTTCCGTAAAAAGTTTCTCCCTCTCCTTTTTGGGATGACAGTGGGTCAAGTTTATTCAGGTACCCCATCTACCCAACCTGCTTAAACCATATTTTGACATCTTTAATCACGTTTTTGACAGGTTTGATTACAAAAATAGATGCCCGAATCAGGTAAGGATACCTGGATGGTTTAATTCAGGCTCAAGTATGTTGTTGTTTCTTATGATGACAGTGGGTTATCTTTTTTCGAGTACTGGCATACTTGACCTACTTAAGGTACCTAGATGGCTAGTTAAGTTTGGATTCAGGTGAAAATCGTAGATATCCGACAAGCTGTCATCAATCTTCTTCTCACACTACTAATCTTAACTCACCATGTCTAACAAGGCATCTATTGGTGTCCTTTGGACATGTCCACACCATCATCAATAATTCTCCTTCATCTCATCTTCCACTATAGCTATACCTAATTGTTACTGAATGCATACATTCTTTGTTCCAACCTACATAAATCTCATCAAGAATAATTTTCCCAAGCTTTACAAATATTTTATTAATTTTTAATTTGAATTTATCGGGCATACAATGATCACACAAAACTCCCAAAGTTTTTTTTTAACTTCAACTATCCATCTTTAGCCAAACTTAACCAAAATTCTCAAATATGTGATCACAATCATATGTATAGTCCTCAAGCTAGTCTTTTCTTAAGTCATATGAATTAATGTAGAAGCTAAAGTTTCTACCCAACTTGAAAACAAAGACATAATGGATTAAAAGCTCTATGTGGTCTATATAAAGCCAAGAATTTCCAAGGAAATTGACAACACTGTAGGTTCTCATGACTTGAATTCAGTCTTTCGGGCAAACAAAAAACAATGTGCCATGAAGTAAGGTTTGTGGTACCACGACATACCGCCTGGTATGAACGACATGTACCAATCCGATAAGTGACTGGTATGGGCAGTACATACCGGTTTGTCGGTATGCCCGATCGTATCGTGTGTCGGTACATTGGTATGGTTTGATACGTACCATACCAGTGCACCGACTGGCTATTGACATGGTATGTACCAAACCATACAGATGAACTGACACATGATATGATGGGGTGTACCGATAGATCGGTATGTACCGCCCATACCGATCCCTTGTCGAACCGATACATACTGCCCATACTGGGCGATATGACGAAACTTGCCATGAAGTACATTATGATTTTCTAAACTTAGTCAAGAAATAGATCTCATAATAATTTCAATAAGCCATTGTTATTCAATATTTAGCCAAACATATGTTGGAGATTCGTGTCCAAATACCCTACACACAATTAAAAAAGATGTCATAGTAGATGACAAAAGTCCATAGGCCCTTTGTTTTTGGCATAAAGGCTTCATATAAGTGGCTATGTATAACTGAAAATGAATGCCAAATATTTAAAGCTAAAAACTAAACTAAAAAAGAGGAATAGCAAACCATGCAAAAAGCTAGCCTACCAATGTTTTCTGTCTGCAATTATGCCTTTTGGGGCAATATAGGAGAATTTGATGTTTTTTGCAAATTCAGACCTAACAAAATTTCTCAATGATCAACAAAGAGACAGTCAAAATAAACATATTGCACATGTAGATACATCATAAAGTCTTGCTACCTGAGGGAGAGGAATAACGGCAAGAATGTCAATAAGGAAGTATGACTTCAAATATCTAAGGGCTATTGCTGAAAAGTCTTCGACCAAGACACCCCTTCCAAATACACGAGATGGTGGAGCAATAAAACCAGTTCGAAATTGGAATATTATATGAAGTACGTAAAAAATGTCGGTGAAGGATCGCAAGACACTTGCTGTGATCACCAAATTTTCATCCAAATCAACGCAGGTATCCTTATCATTAACAAATGGAATGTAGAAGAAGAGAGGATCTACAGATATTGCCACGACACAGGATAAAACAAATATTTTATTCCACTTCTGGAGAAATGGCCCTTGAGGATCCAGTACTTTCTTCCTAGACTTCAAATCTTCTGCAGATGAATCCTTTATGGACTTATACTGAAAGATATTGCTTAGAAGTTCAAACATATAATGATATATTCTCTGCATGCTTCTCATTAGTGGACCAATTATTGTTTTCGTGAAGATGTCCTCTATGAACTTTGTGATTGCTCTGAGCTCCAATCCTAGAACCTGTCAATATTGGAGTTATTGCAGTTATCCAAATGGTATTCACCCAAAAAAAAAAAATGCTGAAAATTTTATTGATATTTTTTTTCCCTCATAAGTTCATACATTTTGAATGTAGAAACTATATAATAACTTGGACACCAAAGAAGCAAAGTTTTCTCTCAATTGAAATAGACAAATTTACCCTTGTAACATACTTATAAAAAAAAATTGCATAATCATAAAAAGAAATCTATCTGGTCCTTGTTACTTACTTGCTTGCACTTGGATTGGCTTCTATTATCATTTACCGTTTTAGAACCATAAGTTTCACTGTGGTGTCTTTATGTAAACCTTATAGTCGAACATTGGATTAACACTAACAAGTACTTCTAGTGAATGCAATTGAGTACACAGCTAAATATGCCAATATTGTGCATGTGTTGATTAGGATAATCAGAACACTGTGAGGAGTAAACTCATAGACTATAATCAAATGTGTTTAGAAGGGGTAAAAATGAAGCACTAATTACTTGTACAAAAAACAAATACATTATTCAAGTGTCTGTTACTACTAGAATGATGGATATGATTATATAAAGTCTGACCTCAAAATTTTTTCATCATGCTGATTCATAGTTTCCCTTTGACTGCAATAGAAGAATGAGCATCAATTGAAATAAATATCTGGATCTGTAAGTATAGTACCAATTTTCCATATTCATAAGGTAGTTTACTACCATCAGAAGCTCTTGTTCCAGTCTTCTATTGATCATTTGCTTAAGGGAAAGCCACCAACACTTAGTTCCACGTTAACAAAGAACTACAGAAGAAACAGAGCCATTTGTAGAAACGAGAAAAATTATGACAAGTAGCGTAATCTTCAGATTCGATACCTCTGGTCTTGTTTAGTACCCCAATTGTATGAAAGCATTTGTGTTCTTTGACCCACAAAGTATATGTCACTTTAAGATGTGACCACGATTGAATAAGGAAGAAGGGCACACCGATTCCATAGCAATGCAACGGCAGGATGAGAGAAATGAAAGCTTACAATGTAGAAAGTTTTTTTGGGGTCTAGAAACTAGGGCTAATTAATTCATCATATCTTCACCCTAACAGTTTCTGTCTTCATGATTTACAACCAACAAAAGTTGACCAGTCATGATAAAAACAATCTTTCTGCAGTGTCTATTTTTCTTATCATTTTCCTAGATTTTCATTCTTCAGGTTTTAAAATCTACTAAAACTGCCCCATGTTGTTTAGTAATCAATCTATAGTTACAATTGTAAACGTACTGAAAAACAAATAATATTGAAATACAGTGCTGAAGAAATAAACGCCTATACAATTTTCAACCTTAACAAAAGTAGTCTAATCTTTGTAGCTCATCTTGCAACACTTTCACAGTTCTTAAATATGTACTAATGCTACGACTTTAACAAGAACATCAAACTACCAAAATACGAGTTGACCTTGTCTTCAGGGCAACCAAATAAAACTATATCCACTTAAATCGACAACCAATCGGCGTGGTGGAAGAAGAAAAAACTATTATTTTGGACAGAATCGACACCAAGATTGCGATCGAGCATTATAAATAGCAGCAAAATCCCTCTTTTCTGCAAACAATTAGCTCAGTAGCTTCTGCAAGACGCACCTAAGAACACCGACCTAGACCAAAGAGGGCTGATTGATTAAGCAGCACGAAAACAACCACCGGGCCTAAATCTAACCAAAGCCAGCCCAACAAAGAAGAACGAACCCACAGGAAAGGAAAACCAGAACCCCATGAAGCTGACCAAGAAGCGGGTCTTACACACCGGTCAGAGGAGGCAATCCCAGACGAAGGAAGGCGGTGAGGCAGAAGAAGAAGAGGTCTCCTTGCCTCCCATCAAACAGCGAGTTCTACTGAAGCCATCTTGTTCTTCATCGCTTCTTGGACCGCAAAGCGTTCGGATGAGAGAGGGGGAGAGAGAGAAGTTTCTTGGCTTCTTCCCAGGCCTTGGACTCGAGGGCGTTGGAATCACGGGTCTGCGTCCGGCCGTGAGGAAGCGACAAAGGAAAGTAGAGTCGAACTCTCCCCCATGTCCATTGCATCAGGAGCGAAGCCAAATAAATAAAGAGTTGAGGGGCTTAACTGCAACTTTGTCTCCCCCATCGCCCCCTCCATAAGGAGTGCAATCGAAATAACAAAGAGTTGGAGGACTAGGAAGTAACTTTTTCTTCCACCGAACCACCAAACTACGTGTTCACGGGCCGAGCCATCCACCCCAAACGATGCTTTCCCATTGGTCAAATGCTTCTGGGACCCAAAAGCAAGCGCCAATAGGAAAGATACCTCGACGATCTTGCTGCCACGCGTAGGACAGATGTCGTTCTCTCATCGGTGAAAAGTTTGAGTAAAGAATACGTAGAGGTGGGTCCAGCCACTCGTCGCCAATCAGCACAAGGGGCGATGGGACAGGAGGAGCACATGCGTCGCATATGTTATACGAACGATCAAACTAAATTAAAGACGTCGACAGTGGCTGATTAGAATTAAGATATAGCCAACGATGTACGGTGGTGGTATCATTTAAATTAATGAGCTGCATCTGCACATGTAACATTTTATTCTTTAAAAAAGTAATAAAATAATTTGTCCAAGAATTAATTTATACTTCATTTTTAACAACGCAATCTTCGTCTTATAATAATAATAATAATAATAAATATTATTAGTTTGTTCTTGTGGTGTTGTTTGACTGCTGTCTGACGCGGACCTGTTAGATAAACAGGGACGAATTTGCATAAATGTCCCTACAAGGTTAGTGATGATCGTATTTATTTATTTATCCCTTCAACTCCATTGGCGCACCTACCAACCAATAAATTTACATATATGCCCTTTACTTAAACCTCTGTTAATGATTTTAGTGTTTGGGTGGGGTTGTCTGATTCTAACTTTAATTAATTAGGCCGATACGGAGGTCGTTAGATTAGTTTATATGGATTAGTAGAAATAATGCCATTTTTTCGTGGATAAGTCAATTTTCTTTATGAGTTAAAGCTTTTATTTCTACTTTTTGATTATAAGAAAGTCTTACATCTGTTGCCTTAAATAAAATTGTTACCAATCTTTTATTTTTTTTGGGAGCCCAAACCTCTTATCACTTTCGTTTTTTTTTTTCAAAATAATATTCTAACTAGAATTAGTGCATGCTAAAGATTTGTCATAAATAATAATTTTTAAAATATATTTTAAAAATATATATCCGATACATTATGCTTCTGTCAATAAGGTCTTAAATTCATATTAGTGACTAATTTTCATATGAATTATATGTGAAGGTTAATAGTAAATGTTATTGTTCGTACTAAGGAAGGATATGTAAAAAGATCTTTTTCTGAATACGATAGATGACAACAAAAGATAGAAGATGATCTTATCTAGTGTCGAGTCTTAATCTCTACGATGATAGTTTGATAATAAGGTAACGGTGAGAAGATGGTTGAGTTCCTAATAGGATGAAATTACTGTTAGGATCAAGAGAACTAAGTGAATTAGTGCAGCGGAAAATTTTTTGCGATTAAAACGAAACTGCGTTCGAACGATAAAAACGATTTCTGTGTGAAAGCCGATTCTAAGCAAGATGATGTTAAAGTCAATCTATGAAGGTGGTTTGCAGCTATGATGAAAACCAGAATATAGGCGCAAACTGAAATACGACATTCGTACGAAGAAACTGATTTACGTCTAAATGCTGATTCGTAAATCACTTGATTAGGCAAGACGCGGTTTAAGCAAGAGTATAAAGGCAGTTTGAAGTTATGGTAGAGCTCAAAACGTAAACGCAATCTGAAATATGATGATCGTATGAAAAAACAGATTTACGTCTAAACGCTGATTCGGAAAGTGAAAGGCTTGAAACCCGATCGTATATGCGCAGAAAGCAATAAGCTTCAGAGGAGGTTTGCAGTAAAGATAATATGCTCAAAGTAAATGCAAACCGAGATTTAGAGTGGTTCAGTCAATCTTAACCTACTCCACTTTTGGCTTCCTCCACCGACGAGGTCACCGACGTCAACTAGAGGCCTTCCTTCAATAGGCGAAGGCCAACCACCCTTTTACAGTTTCACTCCTTTTGACGGGCTTAGGAGACAACCCTTATAGAAATTTTCTCTCCTCTCTTTACAACTCAGAACTTGGAAGAACAGAGGGAGAAGAACTTTTGGCCTTTACAACAATTTTGAGCTCTAAGAATCACAGAAAAAGATCAAGTTTTCAGTATAAGTTTTTACCCTTTCAGTGCTGAATGGGTGGGGTATTTATAGGCCCCAACCCAGTTCAAATTTGGAGCTCAAAACTATCAATTCCCGGAATTCCGGGATCAGGCGGTTGCACCTCCTTACTGGAGCGGTTGCACCGCATGGCAGAGCTCGAAGACTGAGCCTCTAGGCGGTGCCACCTCCTGTCAGGGGCGGTTGCACCTCCTGCCAGAGCTCGAAGACTGAGCTCAGGCGGTGCAACCTCCTAACTGAGGCGGTTGCACCGCCTGGCAAAGCTCGAAGACCGAGCTTAGGCAGTGCCACCTCCTGGCTGGGGCGGTTGCACCACCCAGTCTCACTCGGAGACTTAGCCTAGGCAGTGCTACCTCCTGGCCTGGGTGGTTGCACCTCCTACAGCAATCAGGGTCCGAATGGGTTGATCCATTCGGCCCAATTTGGGTTTTTTAGGGGCCCAATTGCCCCAAGATTAAGTTAATGGGATCACCTCCCATTTCCAACTTAATTATTGTGGTAACTACGATATTTTCTAAGACGTTTACTGCAACTTGCTCCGGTGCGTCAATCGCTTCTTCCGGCGAGCTTCCGGCGAACTTCCATCGATCATCCGATGAACCCTCGGTGATGCTCCTACGGACTTCTGGCAAACTCCTGGACTTGCGACGATCCACTTGGCGAGTTCCGACGAGCTTCTTTGGCAAGCTTATGGACTTCTCGGATTTGTTCCCGCAGAACCTTCGACGATTGTCCGAACTTCCGTCGAACTCTCGAACTCCCAACGTGATCATTGTCTTGACTCCGGCGCAACTCCTACTGCATGTCTTACTTTCATCGTAGTTAATCCTGCACATGTAAACAAAACTTCGATCGAGACAATTAATCCTAAGCAATTAACCAAGTTGTCCGGCATGTCATTGGTCCCTCGACGCTTCGTCCGATTCTTCGGCGCATCGTCCTTTCCTGCGGCCTATTGCCCAATCGGCCAATTGGCTCCGCAACTCCGATATCATTGGCACAATACCCGCTCTTCTTGGCCCGATGCCCGAGTCCACGGCCCGAAGCCTTCTGTCGATACGTCGACCGATCCACCGGCCCGACGTCCAATCTTCTGACATGTTCCTCCGGCACAACATGATTTTCCTGCTTTAATTGTCTCATCCTGATCGAGGCATCTTGCGTCACTCAAAATGCAGATTAAATCATAAACATATATCAAGTAGTTTCATCATCAAAATACGAGATTCAACAATCTCCCCCTTTTTGATGATGACAACCACTTGATGACGGAGTTAAACTTAACTCCCGGAGTTTAAACAAACTCCCCCTATCAATATGCCATATTGATAAAACCTTGAATTCAAACTAAATTCAAGTCATTGCAATATTCATCATGAATACTTGCAACACGTCATCATGAACTTATGCATAAACTTATGCATAACATGTCATGTCATCAACATACTTCTCCCCCTTTGTCATCAATAAAAAGGAGAAGTACCACAATCAAGTGTTTGTGATATTGGTTCAACTCATTGCATGAAAAACATAATATCAAGTTTTATTATCATGCAAGTTTGCTATTATCAAATATCAACATGTAAAATTGCTATGTAAGCTTTTGATATCATAACGCAAACATTTCAAGTGTTTATCAATTGTAGCATTTCATCACATGGTAAGATATCAACGCGCAAAATTATGATACAAGTTCTTGATATCTTAACGCATAATGCAAACATGGCATAATGCAAATTTGGCAATCATAGCATCAATTCATATATCTCTTGATGATGCAAGCATTGCAAATATGGCAATCATATTAATTCATATATCTCTTGATGATGCAAGCATGGCATAATCATAACATCAGTGTT